GAGTGACCACTGTCTAGCAGGTGTCTAGTACTCGAAGATTGTGGGATCTTCGATTAGGTCTACTTAAGCCAGTTAGGTGTGTGACTGGTGCATCTACTTCTCTAATTTCAGTGTTTCTAATACCTGTTTCTGAATGGTCTGGCAATCGTTCAAATATCCTCAGACCTTAAAATTCCTTTATTTCCTGTTCCGCTAGCGGGGCCGACCTGGAGAACCTGCTGGATCTGGCAAAACAAAACGCGCAGCTGGCTAAACGCGATTTCGTCAAGGAGGCGGATCTTCAGGCAGCCCTGGATGAATTGAAGAGTAAATGATTCTCCCGACCTTCCATCTTTGTACAAAATTGTGAAATACACTGAGCGCCCCCAGCCGTTTTGGTTTTTGATAAATGCTCAGGGCGATGGCACGCACAGGTCCCTCCCTCTATCCGATTCCATATAGTTGGGATCTGTTGCAACGAATGTGGAAATAGAGGGTCTCCTTAGGGGTGACATTTTCAGTCGCGGAGCGATCCTAGCGTATGGACACCCAAAGAAAATGTCCTATTTTGAAGTAAAGCATTGCGTTGCCAATAGTCCGGTGGTTATGCTTGCTACTAACTTCCTGATTCATCATAATCCTTTCTGTTTAACAAAACGTGGATTATCTCGACCCTACTCAGTACTCCACAGCTTGCCTGGGTAGAAACCATAGCGTGGAATTTCTCATCCGTCAGAGTCTTGGACCCACTTCTATTTCTTGCTGGTGTATCAACTTGTCGTTAAAAATTAGTGATTGTGCTTCTGGATGACGTTGCTGGACGTCGTCGCTTGCGACGACTAAACTGATGCGCAGCTGCATCATCATGCAGCAGCAGAATGTCGACGGGGCACGTGTCTGGGCTCTTAGCTAATACCACGCCCTCTCCTGCCCTAGGTTATCTTGATTTGCTCATGACAGCGGGCCCAAGGGGGGGGGAGGAGCGGGAGAATGAAAAGAGAGTGCCGTAGATGCGACACAAGTCTGCTACCAATTAAAAGTAATTCACGCGGTCGAACTGTCAGGTGGTACCTGCGATGTCAATTATGACAAATCGTAAGACCGTCGTATTGGCAATACGTGCCAGAATTTGAATACGTTTGTACGACCGAGGCAACTTGCCCGAGATCCGTGCATTTATTTTTATCTTTTATGCTGAAAAACGTCGTCTTTCAAAACAATATTTGGTAATTAAGTCGCGAAACATTCGGCAGTGGTTTTTTTCGTGGCACACTAAAGAAGTCTCAAAAACCGCATTTCACTGCACTTGGAGGTATTGTCTGCTCATGCTACAGCAGCAAAGTACACGCACTGGGCGACCATTCAATGTCCGGCACACATACCCGAATCCAGCAACTAACGCCAAGTTATATTTTCCAATCAGAGTTGCTTTGATGCGCACCTAGGATTCCACATGTTAAATTTGTTGTATATGCGCAAATATTTGGACGCACAGCTGGCACCCGCGAGCGAAGGTGGAAACGCTCAGAAAGCACACGGACGACGTGACACATCTCATGGAGGCATCCTCGAGGGCGCGAATAATTTAAACACCCACCAGCAATCGATCGACGTGCGAGCATCAGGCACAGTTATAACACACGTCTAGCGGTTAGACACACTCACTTGACACCAACAGGAGAACAGACGTTACGCTCTAACGATGGAAGCGAGAATGCTTTCGAAACATCAGCTTAAATGCAACTCGGTCTCAGAAATTGACCCTTCTTCCTCTTCGGAGGATGATGAAAGTAATATTATATCTGCACTTCGAATATTCCCGCATATTAACTGACGCTACATCCCCAGCTAGAGATCTAGTGATGCAGAAGGCACCGACCAATACACACTTGGACCAGGTTTCGCTGTTGCTACGTAGTAACCTTGTAGCAGACAGCCGTAACTACGATGCACAACTGCGTCTAGGTCATCCACCATCCCTGCGGACGCGTCCAGACACACATGCTTTACAATCTGGCTGACAACGGCTCGTGCATTTGAACAGTCACGATCGCTCATGCTCCCTTTGGACCTGTCGCCCATCGACCAGGGCTACGCAGACCACTAGACAGCTCACGCGTCAAATAATGCAACACCAATGAAACGCATGACACTTACACTGTTCTCCCGTAGACCTGTACTGACCTTACTTCGGATGCTTATACTTAGGCTGCTTTCCTCACGCCTACCAGTGGCAATCTGGTTCTCGGCCAATCACAGCGAA